TATTACAATATATTGTACAAAACTTGAAGACATCTCGCCGGTTGTCATCTCTTTCACATTTCTGTTTTATGAAACTTAGCATGTGTAACGATACACAATATCATTAATAAATAAAATTTTTGCCCCCCCCCCCCATGAAAAGTATTTTATTGATGGGTTTGAGCTGTCTTAGGTCCTAATATTGAGAGGCCTCAGCCTGACTTAACCATTAGATGCTTCATTTGTAACGAGCAAGTTTAGCAACGATAGCGCACCCAATTTACATGACATCATAAGGACTATAGAAGTTGATTTTTCATGACTAATGCACAGAAGGATAATGCGTATACATTATTACATTCAATTTCACAATCAAGTCTTATAATTTCTATAAGTAAGAATAAACTTGGAGCAGTGACGGCGGAACAATAACTGGGGCAGGGCCTCTATTTAGCATGAAAAGAAATAAAATGGTTTGACGTTGTCGTTATAAGACATTACTGTGCTTCAACTGCTAAGGTCTTTAAGCGCGAAACAAGATTAGTAATTACATGAGTACATCAGTTGAAAATTACGAAAGATAGAACTCCCTGTTGAGCTCGTGCACGGCTAACACAAATTTACTCCGCGGGGTACAAGGCTATATTAGACTACACAGATGGGGTCTATAAACACACAGTCATATTGGATTACTAAATAAGCCGTGCCGTATGTCATAATGGCCAAGGTGTTAAGATGTCGGGTACACAAATAGTGTTGGTTAGTGGGGAGTGAACTGTATGGCGGGGATCAGTGAGTAACGTACAATGTAGATCAGTGAACAGTGAACACTAAGTGAATTAGAAAAGGACAATATAGGTCAGGAATCAATGAACACTAATTCAGTTGAGTAAGTTCGATAGTTTTGATCATAAAGCAATGTTGTACAGTAAGTCGTTTGGGATTGTATCGTATGGATTAGTGAGTAATAAACAATGTGCTGGACATCAGTAAGGAATGGAGGGTAGGTCATGGAGGGAGAGATACGTACATGATAAAGGCAGACGATGACTACAGCTTTCGCCAAAATTGTCTTTTAATTTCAAACTTATTATCTCTTGCTTTCATTGTCATAAACATCACTTATCGATGAGATGAAGATTATCCCAGTAGTCAGAGCGATATGGCGGTACAGAGAGATATCAAGAAGGTAAAAGTTAAACGTTATTCACGAATATCCCACAAGAAGAAAACCAAATTGCGTTCGACTAGCACATAGAACAGCACTGGCGGATCCATCCGGTATCTATCCATCAGTAACATCAAGCCCGGAAGCTAACAAATGTCGGGCAGTGAGGGAAAGGCGCAAACGTCAAAGGATACGTTACTGGCGGTGAGGTTAAGGATATCAGGTTTCTGCTACTGGATAATGCTACCAGTTTTCACTATTGGCACAGTCATGGTGTAAATAGGACCAACACTGTGGTTTGTGGACAACGCTACAGTTACTCTCTTGTCTTCACCGCCTTTCTAACCAAACTTAGCTGATCGTTACTGACAGTACCAATGATGAAATGTGTAAGAATTTGGTAATCGATCTATATGGGCTATAGTAAGTGTAATGTTAAGTGGTGCACATTATCGGGAGTGTGAGGGTACCAGTAGTGACTACCTTGATTAGCATACTGGTGCAGGAGTGTGCATGACTAGCCTGGTCCATCTTGAGAGTCAAGTAACATTTTAAAATGGCACAATATCGAGGGCGCACGTGTTTATAGAGGAATTAAATGCGTATACTGTAATTTTTAATTGTTTGATTCTTCGGAATGGTTAAAAAAATGACTTAGGTTTCTCGGATGAGGAAAAAAAGAAGTTACAATAATATACAATCAAATCTTCAACTTCACAGCACACAATAAGAAGTTTAGGGTTCTAAGGTGTGAAAAGGAAAGCCTAGTAAACATATATAACAAAAATATGACGGGAAACTGATAACACACACCTGTAAAGTCTTCATTTCACATCATCTGAAGAAATAAGCGTTGCATTTTAATCCAAGTTTCCCCGAATTGTAATACAGTTTCACATAATCATTGAACATATGGAGGAGGTATATGAACGTTCTTTTGAGGCAGTGGTGTTGAATCTGTTTCATACCAATCGTCTGTGTTAGTGTAAGAAGATAAATGATAGTCTATATTGATAAAAGTTCGGATGAGTAGAGAAATTCAAGCTCAGTAACTACTCAGGTCATTAGCGCATTTATAGTAATGTTGTATTGTTTTTCTTTATTGATTGTTGAAAAAAACGCACGTGTTTGTGCGCAGAAGAGAGCTTGTCCATGATATCTGGCACACACACACACACACATATACACACACAAACGAAATGTAACTTAGTAAAATATGTAATCTTTGATATAAGATTAATTTGCCATTTGTTTTTCGTAAACTGACACATACTGTAGAAGGATATGTGATATTCCCCTTTGGCTACTTTATTTACTAACAAGTTTTATTGACATACTCTGTAGCTATATGTAGTATTAACTAGGGGATACTTTCCTTATCAGAAACGAATGTCCAATGACTAATTTTTATCCATACCTTCGTTTTTATAGAGCTAACTGTCGGTCAGCTAACGACGGTCACCCAGCCAAGTCCTCCTGTGGTGGATTCAAAGCGCACGTGCATGTAATTTTAGAACATTGATTGTATCGACCGTTTTAACATCAAGCAAATAACATCAAAGGTTCAGTACACTTTTAGATGTATCGAAGTGTTCGCAGTTAGACCCGCTGAATGATATTGTGTTACTGGTGGATTAGAGGTGTCTCGCGCTGTCAACAGTCCAAGATTAACCCAGCAGATATTGTTTTTTACTGCATTCGTAAACAAGCTTAATTATTTCACAATCAATAAATGGGTAAGATAAAACGAGTACACGTGTTATTTGTTTTACTTCAAGATGGAAAACACTGTTTATCCACCTCACGTATTTTTGTTAGTCTTACATTACGACGAGCATAAAACAAATACTTTACTTTCTTTTTCATTAAGTTTCAGGGTCATACTCTGAAATATAGGAAATGTAAATCTTGCTATAATTTGTTTAAGAAATAGGAAAGAGTTACAGAGGAGGACAAGAAGAAGGGAAGAAGAGGGCGCCAAGATATGAAGTTAACTTGAACAAAGATGATACGAAGGACTCGACCAAAACACATAATGACTCCCGAGAATTAAAAAGCTAGTATATACAACACTTAGAGTACTTTAATGAAGTTAGTGATTCAAAGCTGGTCACTTTTGTTCCTTCGTGCTTTAAATATATTAATTTCTAAAAATATTTTTCTTAATTCTTGGAAAATAAATCGATTCTTTGGAAAATTCTCCACCGAGGTCTTGAAAGCAAGGGCAGCCCAAAACTTGTCGCTATGTTCAGCCACACTTGAAAAATAAAATCATATGTGAACAACATTATGTCTGGTCAGAAGGCGAGCATTAATCCAAAACGTCGTGCCTTGACAATTTTTGATCGGGGTCTTTGAGGGGAAAAAATTCTAGTAGCTTTTCAGTTAAAATTAGGATAATAGCAGGTCGTAACCCGAATTTTTTTTAAACGGTTTATCGGAAAATCCATGTCTGAATATTTGTCCTGAAATAATCCTTGAAGATACTTTTGGGAGGAGCGTTGGAACCAAGGAAGCAGCCAGTGTCGCACAAGATGGCTGGCTGGCGGCGCGTAGGGAATCGATATGCTGCCCTATAGTTTACCCAGGAATATTATATTATATATTTAGATATAAAGTATAATACGGTAATCCAAGTATAATGACAGTATTAGAGATTTCGTGACAACCTAAATCTGAACATAAATGTAACAATTATTTTTTTACCACTTAGGATTGTACAGCACTTGGACCATTTCAGAGGCATGAGGTATTACGAAACCAATATACAACGCCAAATTAATATGTTCAAAAGCTAGAGTGCTCATTAATATGAGCCTACAGCACATACTCGAATATGAACTTGAAGTTTTTTCATCAATGATCCTTGGCTTATGGTATTAGGTTAGGTTAAAATATTTGATTCCCACCAGCAAGAGCTTTAAATTTCAGAATCATCATTTGGCTTTTTTCCCAAGTCAATGCGCTCTAAAATCTACCAATGATTCTCCTTTTCCTTATTTATTTTTCATTACTGACTTTATTCATACAGTCGCTACCGTGTCACATCAGCTCTTAGTTTGTCTTTGCGGGAGGGCTGGGTCGTCATACACCAGCCTCTGTACAAAATTGTGTTCACAGCCACCACCAGGGTCTTAATACATATTCGGTGTATTACAGCAATAAGTGACATGGGATCTGTATACCCCGCTTCTTATGACTCGCACACTATCACATAGTCCTTACTGTTATCACCCCCCACGTCTTTGTAAATTTAAATAGCGAAACATTTACAGAGAGAATATTATAACTTTACACACCCCCTCCGCGCTCTCTCTATTTTCAAGTTTTAATTTGTTATTTAAGAAGAGAAGCTATCTTACTGGTTTAATGGGTATAATCCTTGGGGACAAATCAGATAGATATTTTTATTGACAAGCTTCAGCCAATTAATTAAAGAAAACCCGCTCACCATTATTCTCCCTGCTGAGGCTTAAAGCTTCCAGGGCCATGAGAAAGTTTTGAGTTCCGTATAGCCTTTGGCCCAGGGCGGGTAATGATGGAATGACCAAACCCTACAGATAATTATGGCTATAGATATGAGGATAATTGTGAGTCTATTGTATGTGTATGGACGATATAGCTACATATATCCAGTGTCATGTTTTCTGAACCTGTACTTGTATCTTCTGGCTAATCCGTATCTGGACCTGTACTTGTACTGTACTTATGCCTGTATTATGTACCTATATCCATACATGTACTTATACCTGTATCAATATCTTTGTCTTTATATGTACTTGTACTTGTACTGTACTTCACTTTACACCTATATACTTCTACCTGCAATTATGCTATTTTTCTGATTTTATAGAATCATATGAAAAAATGCAGTAACCTGGGCGATGACTTCCTGCAGGTGGCACTGAAGAGGCAGCAGGCGGCAGAGGACGCTATCGCCATGACCTTCAGGGTGGCCGCCACTGGCACCACCTGCCCATTTCTACCCCAGGGACCCATCTTTGGACTCCCCGTCACAGAACCTCAAGTCAAAGGTAAAGATAATTCGCTGCTTTATTTCCCTAACGTGAAGGTAATTGACCCTTGACTCCCCCAGGTAAAAATAATTGACCTCTGACTCCTCCACATGAAGGTAATTGACCCCTCGCTCCTTCAGGTAAAAATAATTGATCCCCGACTAGCCTCACCTGTACTGGGGTAAAGGTAACTTAGAAATATCAGTTTGAGAGATAAAGGTAATTCACCATCACCTGAAGTAAAGGTAACTCCGTCTCAGAACTTATGTTAATCTACACATACTGTACCCGCCAGGGGATCACCTGAAGATTGGCCACCTTAGCTTATTTGAATATTTCACTGGAAGATTAGACTCCCTGGCTTATTTCACCGGAAGTTAATGCACCCTAACGCTAACCTAACACCCCCAGGTAACGTTATGCTTAAGCTTCAGGTGAAATAAACTGGGTGTCTGATTTTCAGGTGATCCGCAATAAACCACAAAGACGATCAGAAGAACAATGATTACTCCTTCCATATCCCTCGTCGGGGAAAGATGTCAACAATCAGACCTACGACACCATACACCATATTTAACCTACACAATACCTAACCACGTCTCAGGTCCTCGTGTTGACGCAGATAAAGATAGAACTGTGTGTTAGTGATGGTGATGGGGACATGTTTGTCATCATAATAAGGATATTAATGAAGCTGGTGATGGAAGAGCTTTGTAGTTGAAACACTGACAGAGACACGACCATACTGACGAGGATGATGTAAATAGGATGATGATGATAATGATGATGATGAACAAATCTTGATAATTTAAGTAAATACGAGATTATAAGCATAACACTATCTGGTCAAAGGTTATTTCTCTCCATAAAGTCAGTTAATATATTCTATTCACCATTACTTACGGTAAAAAACATTAACGTACGAACTTTTCAGAGTACGGAGCCTGGTAGTAATAGATTTTATGCAGTCCTGTACACACACCATCGTTCACATCGGCGACAGTGGCCTCAGTGTGAGCGCCTTAACTGATTTTCTTCAAACTCGTCAGTGACATTGATCCTTGTATAAGAGCTCGGACGAGTTTGATAACAGGCGTGATTAGATTATTTTAACCAGGGACTATTCACTATAAAGTCGCTTGAGTCACGGAACTTATCAATTTAACATATTTAAACAAAATCAAGCTTCATCATATTTATTCAAGCATAAACTAACCTACTTTTACATCAAGTGATCTAACCTAACCTAACCCTACCTAACCTAACCTAACGTAAATTGGGTTAGGCTACTCTGTTGATTTTTTCGTTCCGCTGCACCTTGTATGGTTGGGAGAAAATCATACCACCTCGGGCTCTTGTACTTAATATTTACCATTCCTGAAGTTGCTCGCTGGCAGTGTCCCTGTGACCACCTTGAGACACCTTCACAGATCAGTTACTTATAGTTGTTGATGCTGAGGAGGTGTTTCTTGTGTTCTTCGTCCCAGGTGTCGAGTGAGAGCATGAACACACACTATAGACTTGTGAATATAGAGTTTGTTGTGATGCGTTCGTGTGGGGATGGGCAGTGTGTGAGTGTGTGTTCTTCTAATATCTTGAGCTACATAGAACAATTTGGAACACATGGCTCAGGGTCTTAAGAAATAGTGCGCTCCTCAAGACTGATCAAACAGAGGTGTATGCTTTCATAACCTCAGTGGGATTACTACTGAAGTTATAAAGGGATATAATAAGTTGAGCTTTTCTTCCGAATTTATTAGGAACAGTAAGTGGGATATTCCAGCAATTTATTGTTATTATTATTATTATTATAATTATTATTAAACCAATCTATTTATTCAGGAATGTCTTAATATTGATAAAGAGGGAGAGATAGATGTAATTCTTCCCGCATCTTCACGCTGTACCGAAATTTGGGCATCTACAGTAGACCCTCCTTATCCCCGAGACTAACGTTTTAAAAGACTGTCTCCAGGCGCATTAGTCTCATGTTGTGAAAATGTCAGAGGCTATTGTCTTACTCTCTGTGATAACTTTACCTTTAAAACCCTCACTATTCTCCAGCACAGCAGCTTGGTGGTTATTTTGTGTCCAGCCTTGTAAAACGTTGATGTGTGGGCGTGTGTTAGTGTTGGTGTGTGTGTGTGTGTTTGTATTGGTGTGTGGGCGTGTGTTAGTGTTGGTGTGTTGGTGTGTGGGCGTGTGTTAGTGTTGGTGCGTGGGCGTGGTTATTGTTGGTGTGTGGGCGTGTTAGCGTTGGTGTGTGGGCGTGTGTTAGTGTTGGTGTGTGGGCGTGTTAGCGTTGGTGTGTGTGGTGTGTGTTAGCGTTGGTGTGTGGCGTGTTAGTGTTGGTGTGGGCGTGTTAGTGTTGGTGTGTGGGCGTGTGTTAGTAAGCAGTGTGGGCGTGTGTTAGTGTTGGTGTGTGGGCGTGTGTTATTGTTGTGTGGGCGTGTGTTAGTGTTGCGTGTAGGCGTGTGTTATTGTTGGTGTGGGCGTGCGTTAGTGTTGGTGTGTTGGTGTGTGGTGTGTGTTAGCGTTGGTGTGTGGGCGTGTTAGTTGGTGTGTGGGCGTGTGTTAGTGTTGGTGTGTAGGCGTGTGTTATTGTTGGTGTGTGGGCGTGTGTTAGTGTTGGTGTTGCTGTGCGGGGCGTGTGTTAGTGTTGCTGGTGTGTGGGCGTGTTAGTGTTGGTGTGTGGGCGTAAGCAGGGTGTTGGTAGGCGTGTGTTATTGCTGGTGTGTGGGCGTGTGTTAGTGTTGGTGTGTTGGTGTGTGGGTGTGTGTTAGTGTTGTTGTGTGGGCGTGTGTTAGTGTTGGTGTGTGGGCGTGTGTTTGTGTTGGTGTGTGTGTGTGTTGGGGTGTTGGTGTGGGCGTGTGGTTAGTGTTGGTGTGTGGGCGTGTGTTAGCGTTGGTGTGTGGGCGTGTGTTAGTGTTGGTGTGGGCGTGTAAGCAGTGTTGGTGTGTAGGCGTGTTATTGTTGGTGCAGGGGCGTGTGTTAGTGTTGGTGTGTTGGTGTGTGTGGGTGTAAGAAGTGTTGGTGTGTGGGCGTGTTAGTGCTGGCGGTAGGCGGTGTTATTGCTGGTGTGTGGGCGTGCGGTGCTGGTGTGTTGCGTGTGGCGTGTGTTAGTGTTGGTGTGTTGGTGTGTGTGTGTGTGTTAGTGTTGGTGCGGGTGTGTGTTAGGCTGGTGTGTGGGCGGTGTTAGTGCTGGTGTGTGGGCGTGTTATTGTTGTGTGTGTGTGTTAGTGTTGGCGTGTATGTGTTAGTGTTGGTGTGTATGTGTTAGTGTTGGTGTGTGGGCGTGTTAGTGTTGGTGTGGTTATGTGGGTGTGTTATGTTGGTGTATGTGTGTTAGTGTTGGTGTGTAGGCGTGTTATTGTTGGTGTGTGTGTGGGCGATAAATAGTGTTGGTGTGTGGGCGTGTATGTGTGTGTGTGTTTGTATTGGTGTGTGGGCGTGTGTTAGGAGTTGGTGTCTGGGCCTGTGTTAGTGTTGGTGTATGTGTGTTGTTGGTGTGTGGGCGTGTGTTAGTAAGTATGGTGTGTGGTGTGTGTTAGTGTTGGTGTGTGGGTGTGTGTTAGTAAGTTGGTGTGTGGGTGTGTGTTAGTGTTGGTGTGTGGGTGTGTGTGTTAGTGTTGGTGTGTATGTATGTTAGTGTTGGTGTGTGGGCGTGTGTTAGTGTTGGTGTGTGTGTGTGTGTTATTGTTGGTGTGTGTGTGTGCTTAGTGCTGGTGTGTGGGGCGTGTGTTAGTGTTGGTGTGTGGTTGTGTGGTTATTGTTGGTGTGTGGGCGTGTGTTGTTGGTGTATGTGTGTTATGTTGGTGTGTGGGCGTGTGTTAGTGTTGGTGTGTGGGTGTTGGTGTTGGTGAGGGTGTTAGTGTTGGTGTGTGGGCGTGTGTTAGTGTTGGTGTGGGGCGTGTTAGTGTTGGTGTGTGGTGTGTGTTAGTTTGTGGTGTGTTGGGCGTGTGTTATGTTGGTGAGGTGTTGGTGTTGGTGAGTGTTAGTGTTGTGTGTTAGTGCGTGTGTGTGTAGTGTTGGTGGGTGTGTTGTGTAAAGTTGTGTGTGGGGTGTGTTAGTGTTGGTGTGGTCGTGTTAGTGTTAGTGTGTGTGGGTGTTAGTGTTAGTGTTGGTGTGTAGTGTTTTAGTGTTGGTGTGTGGGGTGTGTTAGTGTTGGTGTGTGGTGTGAGTGTTGGTGTGTGTGGTGTTGTGTGTGTGTTGGTGTTGGTGTTGGTGTTGTTGTTGTGTTGGTGTGGGGTGTTAGTGTTGGTGTGTGGGTGTGTGTTAGTGTTGGTGTGTGGTGGTGTTGGTGAGTGTGTTGTGTTAGTGTTGGTGTGTGGGGTGTTTAGTGTTGGTGTGTGGGCTGTGTGTTAGTGTTGGTGTGTGGGTGTTGGTGTGTGAGTGTTGTGTGTGGGTGTGTTATAAGTGTTGGTGTTAGTGTTGGTGTGTGTTGGTGTTGGTGTTGGTGTGTTAGTGTTGGTGAGGTGTGTTAGTGTTGGTGTGTGGGTGTGTTATGTTGGTGTGTGGGCGTGTTAGTGTTTGGTGTGTGGGTGTGTGTTAGTGTTGGTGTGTGAGTGTGTTAGTGCTGGTGTGTGGGTGTGTGTGTTATGTTGGTGTGTGGGCGTGTGTTAGTGTTGGGTGTGTGGGCGTGTAAGGAAGCAGGTGGTTGTGTGTTATTGTTGGTGTGTGGGTGTGTTAGTGTTGGTGTGTGGGTGTGTGTGTTAGTGTTGGTGTGTGGGTAAAAGTTAGTGTTGGTGTGTGTGGGTGTGTGTTATGTTGGTGTGGGTGTGTGTTAGTGTTGGTGTGGGCGTGTAAGTTAGTAAGCAGGTGGGCGTGTGTTAGTGTTGTTATGTGGGCGTGTGTTAGTGTTGGTGTGTGTGTGTGTGTTAGTGTTGGTGTGTGGGGTGTGTGTTAGTGTTGGTGTGTGGGGTGTGTGTGTTAGTGTTGAAAAGGGGTGTGTGTTATGTTGGTGTGTGGGTGTGTGTTAGTGTTGGTGTGTGTGGGTGTGTGTTAGTAAGTTGTGTGTGTGGGGTGTGTTAGTGTTGGTGTGTGGGCGTGTGTTAGTGTTGGTGTGTGTTAGTGTTGGTGTGTGGGTGTGTGTTAGTGTGTGTTAGTGTGTGTGTGTGTGTGTGTGTGTGTCGAGCAGTGGTCCTCCTGACCCTGCTATATGGTAGCGAGACATGGGTCACATACAGGAGGCACCTTAAGGTACTTGAAAACTTTCACCAACATAGTTTACGTTCCATTCACCGAGTTCACTGGGAAGATAAGAGAACAAATGCTAGTATTCTTGCTGACACCAACTGTAGGAGCATCGAGGCTACCATTATCCATGAACAACTACGTTGGACTGGCCATGTTACCCGCATGGACGACAGTAGACTGCCAAAGCAGCTACTTCACAGTCACTTAACGAATAGTAAACGTAACGCTGGCGGGCAACTGAAAAGGAATAAGGATAGTCTTAAGACAAACCTGAAAGTGCCAAATCGACCCCCTCACCTGGGAGTCGATTACTCCACATCGTAACGCTTGGAGGAACACCACACGAAAAGGTGTCAATACTTTCGAGTTAGCCCGACTGCAAACCGAGGCAGACAAGCGCCAACGCCGGAAAGACGCTGCCACCGCCCCTCCCGCACTCGATGTAGCCCTCCACATGTGCTACATCTGTGAACGACTCTGCCAGTCCCGTATCAGCCACTTTAGTCACCTCAAAACTCACCAATGAAGGTAACAGCCCTAATAACTCATACCATTGTATCATAGTTGGATTATCGTCATACTCGATTCCGAGTGGCAGCAAAGTAGTAGTAGTATGTGTGTGTGTGTTTGTGTATGTATGGTGTGTGTGTGTGTGTGTGTGTGTGTGTGTGTGTGTGTGTGTGTGTGTGTGTGTGGTGTGTGTGTGTGTGTGTGTGTGTGTGTGTGTGTGTGTGTGTGTGTGTGTGTGTGTGTGTGTGTGTGTTGTGTGTGTGTGTGTGTGTGTGTGTGTGCGTGTGTGTGTGCCAGATTGAGGGGCTATGCTCACACCAGTGTATGTGGTTAGCTCACACAGTCAGTCGTATGGTGGCTCACACCCAGTCGTATCGTATATACATCAGCTCCTCACAGTCACCCTGTCGTATGGTTAGGTCACCCCTTGTCGTATGGTTAGCTCACACCACAGTCACCCTTGTGTATGGTTAGCTCACCACAGTCACCTCGTATGGTTAGCTCACACACACAGTCGTCGTATGGTTAGCTCACAGCACAGTCACCCTTGTCGTATGGTTGGCTCACAGCACAGTCACCCTTGTCGTATGGTTAGCTCAAGTGCACTGTCGTATGGTTAGCTCACACAACAGTCACCCCGTATGGTTAGCACACAGTCTTGTCGTATGGTTAGCTCACAACACAAGTCACCCTTGTCGTATGGTTAGCTCACAACACAGTCACCCTTGTCGTATGGTTAGCTCACAACACAGTCACCCTTGTCGTATGGTTAGCTCACAACACAGTCACCCTTGTCGTATGGTTAGCTCACAACACAGTCACCCTTGTCGTATGGTTAGCTCACACCACAGTCACCCTTGTCGTATGGTTAGCTCACAACACAGTCACCCTTGTCGTATGGTTAGCTCACAACACAGTCATCCTTGTCGTATGGTTAACTCACAACACAGTCACCCTTGTCGCTCACAACACAGTCACCCTTGTCGTATGGTTAGCTCACAACACAGTCACCCTTGTCGTATGGTTAGCTCACAACACAGTCACCCTTGTCGTATGGTTAGCTCACAACACAGTCACCCTTGTCGTATGGTTAGCTCACAACATAGTCACCCTTGTCGTATGGTTAGCTCACAACACAGTCACCCTTGTCGTATGGTTAGCTCACAACACAGTCATCCTTACCACGAGGTTGTCTGCAGACTCAGGACGCGTCTTGTCTAATAAGACCACTAAGTGACACCTTCCCGTGGTGTGTTGAGCCCAGTGTTTGTTTGTATCACACGCCCCGGGGTAGGAGAGGTGGGTGTTGTACAGGGAGGGCGGGAGAGGTGGGTGTTGTACAGGGAGGGTAGGAGAGGTGGGTGTTGTGCAGGGAGGGTAGGAGAGGTGGGTGTTGTACAAGGGGAGGAGCAGGAGAGGTGGGTGTTGTACAGGAGAGGTGGGTGTTGTACAGGGAGGGCGGGAGAGGTGGGTGTTGTACAGGGAGGGTAGGAGAGGTGGGTGTTGTGCAGGGAGGGTGGGAGAGGTGGGTGTTGTACAGGGAGGGTGGGAGAGGTGGGTGTTTTGTGCAGGGGAGAGATAGAGCATTGTGAGGGGGAGGTGGAAGATGATGGTGGATGCTGGCTAAGAGTGACGTGGGAGTAAGGAGGAGTGGGGGTGTATGATCCAAGGGAGGCACATGGGGGGGGGGCACCTGAAGTTACCTGGTGGGAGGAAGTGTTGGAGAATTCATCATCTCTGTTGCTCTTACTAATTTTCTCTCCTTTTTTTTTCTCACTCGTTTTCTGTTTTGTTTTTATTCCAGCTCCTCTATCTCCCGTTAACGTGGTTGTTGCGGTTCAGAGAGGATGTCTCTCTTATTCACCTTTCCTGTCCTTTTTATTTTCTCCCTCCTGTCTCTTATCTTCCTGTCTTCTCTTTCTCGATTTCTCCCCTTTCCTCATCATGCTTTCGTTTCCACGGTAGTTACTTGAGTAAAGAGTTTATTTTCTTCATTTATTACCTACCCCATTCCTTCTCTTCGTTGTTCTCTCTCTCCATTTTCTTTTGCTCCTGTATCTGTTGTAATTAGTGTAGCTCAATCATGTTTTATCCATTCCTCTTCCCTTTCCTCTTCGTTATATTCTCTTACTTCATCCGTTCCTTCCCATTCTCTTTCACTCCCCGTGTTCTGCTCCCCGTCTCTGGTAGTTACTGTAGCGCGGGGATGTTTTTCTAAAATGTTCGCCACTTACACTTTGCCAGCCACTAATGGAGGCTTCCGGGGGTAACACAAGCCTAACCCCTCGTCCATCTAGGGGAGGAAATCCTGCTAAGTTCACGGGTAAAAACGCCTCCAGGCAGGGGTGTAACATGAGCCAGGCGGGAGGTGGAAGGGTGTTTGTGTACGGCAGCTGGGTCATGTTGCCCCGAGATCGCCCGCGCCGCCCAGTTTATACCTATCAGCTGGCTCGCCTACCATGGTGGTCCCTGTCCCTGCTTCTCGCACGCCTGCAACCCACTACGTTCACACGCCCACACGTTCACACGCCCACACGTTCACACGTCCACACGTTCACACGACCATGGTTATGCTGTTTCGTGTGTCGTGTAATTCATTTTTCCGTCAAGCTCGATTGTTATGGGTGTAAACATAAGCTCTGTTTCAGGCACCTGTAGTTTGTTTTTCATTGTTTGCACAGTTTTACGCTCATACATGCTATGTTTCATGAACACACACACACACACACACCGCATCACCTCACCCACAATGTCTCACGCCCACAGTCTCAAGCATACCCCTCCTCACACACACATATTCAATGCCACAATATCCTGACCACTGGGGTTAGTTATACACACCCTTTGTGACCTCTACTCTGTAATCCTTTTGTGCTACCGCACACAGGAGGGGTATGGGATGCACAATAAACTAGCAAGTGTAAGTGGTAAAATTAAAAAAATAGCACACACACACACACACACACACACACACACACACACGCACACACACTGGACTGGTCTACCTGTACGTCTGTCCAAGGTGTAAACGAGTTGTTCAGAACACATTGAGACAGTCGCCATCTACTGCACTAGGCTGCCTTATGTAAGCCCCTCGGACGATTTTAATCACCCATCATTTTCCCCTTCAATTAGAGAGTCCTGGCCTTCTTGTGTGAAGATGTTTGGGGAATCGGGGTATTAACGGTTTTCTTGGGCTACTTAGCTGTTTACTATTGTTTATATAGATGTACAGTGCTGTTTATGTCGGGACGGGGCGGCCGAATGGATACAGGACTGTCCTCAGGATAGCGGGTTTTGTCCCGGGGTATCCTCCGGTCACCCAACTGTAAATTAGTGCCTAACATATTGACACTGTTCCTTTTGGGGCGTCAGGCCTGTAGTACTCGCTTTCACTTAATTGTACATGGTGAACCAAATGAGAATGTGTATGACAGTTTTACTGTATAATAATTCATAAATCTATTCGCTGCAAGTATTTGAAAGAGCCAGTTACCACGTCACTGCTCCTGACTCATGAAGTTCTTTTCCTCCACAGATGGTGATATTTGTCTCGAGGACGAGTCAAGGAGCGAGGTGAGCGTGGCCTCTCCCGGCACAGTGATCACATCTCCGGCCATGTCTCCCACCTCCACCTCCGGTGTAACGCCAATCGAGGACGACCCCTCCCACACCCCGCCGCGCTTGTCCTCTCACTCTTCTCCTCACATGTCGGCACACACTTCGCCCCATATTTCGGCCCACACCTCACCCCACATCACCTCACACAGTGGGTCTTCACAGCCCCCTAGTGAATCACAGCAGGAGCTGCCGCCCGCGACAATACCGACCCAGGGGGAGGTTCGGTCCCCGACCTCTGAGAGCCAGAGTGCAAGTGAGGGCCCCGGGGAGGCCCAGCCCAGCCGAGATGCTATCATGGAGTGCCAGAGCCCGATGGAGGCTCGGAAGGAAGACCCAACCAGCCTGGAGGGTATCGACATATTGATGAGGATCTTCCCTAGCGAGCGTCGTGGGGTGCTGGAGTTGGTGTTGACTGGGTGTGGCGGGGACCTCCTACGAGCCATCGAGCACTTCCTCTCAGTGGGAGAGGCGCTTCGCCGCCCGCCAGCTGGCATCACGGTGCACCGTCCATCAGAACACCCTTCCCGCCCACTCTCGCCGCCCAAACCTAGTCTTGGAAGCGCCAAGTCTGCCTTTACACCCTTAGCCAGCAGTGGATTACCGCCGCCCGCCCACCAGAGCTCCTACTTGGGTGGACTGCCTCGCGTTCCCTTGTATGGGGAGTCCCGTTTCGCCCCTCCACTCCTGCCCCTCTCTTACCCCCACCTGTTGCCCCCTCTCCTGCCCGTGCTACCTCCGCTACCCCTCCACCGCCACTATCACCACGACTCCTCCCCTGACCCTGCCGACCTGCGTGACTCCGACCTTGCACGTGCCCGGGACCACCTACAGGAATACTCCATGCGACATGACCTCCTTGGCCGCCCAGAACTACGCCTGAATCTGGACCTCCGACCAGATCTCCGCCTCCGCTCTCCCGCCGCCGAGGACAGCGCATGAGCCGCCATGTAACACTGCTTTACCATACTCGTATTTATAATTTGGTTACTCTTAAAACCCAGTGACTCATCTTATACTTAACGATGTATCACAATTGATTTTTACGGTACAGAAATGCTTCAAAGGTGCTCGCCAAGATCCTGCAGTGTTCTGCGTGTAGATACTGTGATCAGATCAAGGTAACCTTGTCCTAGGGAGCGTCAGAGAAAACATAATACCAGTACAGTATATAAAACATAAACCCTATTTTAATAATAACTCCTGTAAGAAGATCAGGATGTTGTCCATTTTGTGGCATATAATAATTTTCGGTTTATTAAAGAGAATTATATGTCTCCACGGTGTCAGCATGTAACATTTCTGGTGATTTTTGTAAATAAAGTCGGACACAGTAAGTGGAAAATTGTGCTGTGGGTGGTGGTTGGGTCACCCATGCGTCATACGAGGATTTCACATTATTTACAATATTACCTATAGTAATGAACAGCCAAAAGAACCTTACATAGACATTTTCTTTAAAATAGAAAGTCAAGCTACTGTGACTTTCATGTCGCCTTTGCCAACAGCTGATGGTCCACTGGCTGCAGTACTGTGGTTGTTCACAGAAGCCATAACCACCGCAGAAAATATTGTGACATCGTCTGATTCACACTCTTTATAAGACAGTGAGTTTATGTTTACTGTAGAACACACAGTACATGGTCCCCCTCAAGACTTACCCAGTAACGTAATCCTGCTCCCTGTTACCCACCCCTGGAAAGATGTAATAAAACTGACAATCGGGATCCACGTCACACGAACCTTCATAATTGTTTTATGCCTACATTGTAGACTCACAGATTGGAAATACGGAAAACAAAACATTAAGAATATGGCAGTAGTTGTGGGTGTACCCGGTGTCAGCAAAAACACCTGTGTAAGTATTCATCTCAAAGTTTATTGGATATCTTGTAACGTTAAAATTAATCCCTTACCGAATGACGACTTTGATATAACTATATTAATTATTTGTTGTCAGATGGATATCCTTACATGTATCTCGGGCGCGTCTCACTAGGCTCCACTTCTGCCGCCCTGTGTTACACAGGACGCTCACTGTTTTGGTTCCTCATCGCATTTCTCTTATCTCAAGTATTAACTAACGAGCATACCGTTACTATTTTTTGCATGTTAAACCTTTATTTTAACATACAAAATTTCCACACTAGACTTCAATGGAGTGTAAAATGAATTAAAGTGTAAAATGTCACATGTGGTTGGTGAGTAACTCTCACAGGAACCAAAGGCGATTAAACTGGTCATAATGACTGTTCGTTAGTAATAACATAAATGATAGAACAATATGTCCTCCACTGATACATTATACATTATCTTATAAGGAAAAGGTCACTGGAGTTTGTCGACTTGGGAAACTCTTCTTTATTTAAGGATCTATCAATTAAAGGTGATTTCAAAATGAGAACCCAAACACTTTAACCCGTTGAATGGACTCCTAATAGACCAATTTCTTAAGTCCACAAGTAAGTAGCACTGATGGTTTATTGATATTGATATTGAAACAGTTTATTTAGTCAGAAAAACACAGATACAGTCGACAATAATAACAATACTGCCATGACTGAGTAAAGAATGAAGACGTGTGGTCCTTCGACTGGGTGTATCAGAATCAAACCACAAACAAATATCAACAATATTGGAATAAGTCCGACAATATTTATTCTTGTTACCAGAGTCAATTTACGATATCATCCACTTGAAATATATATAATTCATACACCAGGATAAGGAATACATTTGTTAATATTTTTGTCAATGGTAGGATAAAGATCATGAAAAGGTCCTGATGAGACATTATGAACCCATGATCCGACGAACCTCATGACACCTATTGGTCTCGACACACCATCCAAGTGTAATGGAAGACAGGAGACTGAATCTTATTTCCAAATCTAATAGGTAGTGAAATATATAATTATGTATTCAAGGTGCTTTAAATATTATATTTTATTTGTTATGTAATTTTCTGTAGCAAGCGGACCATTATTAAAAGCCAGGGAAATCACACCAAGTAAACCTAATTACGACAATATGTGTAGATTTAAGATGATTATAATTCTTAATCCCCTGTTTGTTAACTACATGTGATTTCTTACTATATAATGATTGTTATATGTCGTACAACTATTTCCTATTTGTATCATAGCTAGATGGATAATGTGGCAGAGATCAACAATAAAATAAGACTGTCTTCCTCAGAGTTTCAAATATCCCGCACATAAGGGAGTATTGTTTTCACTGACAGGATACTACTCCTTTAGCAAGATGCAACACAAACAATAAACACTTCCATTTACATTCAAACTTGGGCTATTTCTTATTAGCATATTGGTAATGGTTGAGTTATACTGAAAAACAACATTAATATTTAGTAGCTTGAGGGACCGAACTAACGGGACAAATTCATTACGATAGGGCAGAGTCAAAATATTCTTAAGTGTAGGAATTTGCCTGGTTAGAGAGGAATGAAAGGATTTTTTAGCCCTTTTAAAACAACGATCAACAAACACAGAAGGGTACCCGAGTTTTTGTGCAATGGAACGAATGTGTTTCAATTCATCGTCAATAAATTCAGAGTCACAAATATATATATACTGTATAGAGAGAGATAAGCGTGGATTATCGATGAGTGGACGACTTTTTATAGCGTTCTTGGCTGGGCATCCATCAGTGAATGAGAGGAAAGGTGGAAAATCTATAGTATATTCCTTTATAGAATTAAAGTTAAAATTAGTTGTTATTGTAATAAGAATAAAAAATATATATGATTTTTAATAGGCTTTATGTATAGAATGTAAATATATAAACAATGAATATTCATTGGCCAATAAATTATTATTCAGGCGTCAATTGACTGCCCAGGGTAAACAGTACAACCTTGTCGCCGACACCATGTGCGCCGCGTTGGTTTTTCTTTGCAATGTGACTACTGATGGGTGGACGAATTCCAGACCAGTCCAGTGTCATCTCTGAACAGTGTGACCGCTGCTCATGATAAGGGAAAATATATCGCACTGGAATATCAAAAGGTATGTTCATCATACTTAAAATATGTGGTTTTGGGCGTTCCCAAGAGATCCGAACACTGCCAGGTTTGTCAAAATGTCACTGATTCTAAAGTCCACACACACACACACACACACACACTATATCGATAAATGTTCAACATGAAGAAGGCGCAGCATTTTGCATAACTGCTGAGAAAGGTGAAAGAATGACTTGGTGGAAGTTCTGTTACTGTAGACCTAATGAAGAGCATACGTAAAACTCATGTCCCAGTGGAAAAGTTGGTTTATAATTATTATTCAAATGCACCCTTACACAGGACCATAATCCTCTGTGTTTTGTATTGCATGACGTTAAATCATTTATTCCAATCTACCCCATGAAGTTAGCTATGCCAATTTTTCCTTTTTTTCACAAAATTTACTGAAATGTTCAACCAAACCAAATAAAAACAAAAATAAGATTCAGGAGACTGTATTTTAGGGTCATTACTTTATTAACGATTTTTATTTAGGGTTTTAACTGAAATATTTTATTTTAATGAAGATAACTTTAAATTTGCTTCAGGAAAAATGAGTGTTAAGTAATGTTTTTAATTTGTTGGACAAGGCATATTTGTCATTCTTTTTCTGAATTCAGAGTCGCCGTTTCTTTGCTGTCTCACCGGTTATGTATGATAGGGTTTAAATGAAACGTTTCAGTGAAAATTCCGAAGAAAACAGTTATGAAGGCGGCAGCCATGGAAAACATATTTACCAAAAATTGTTATAGGTTAGGATGGTTTGATTTGTTGGTGCTGATTTGTGATAGATACGCGTTGTATTGTATCTTGTTTGTAATTGCATATTAATCTATGTATGTGAAGGAATTTATCAGTGTTTCTAGCCACGTGATATTTATAATAGAACATGTTTTTATACAAGCTTTAATTTGGGAAAAGAAATGGCTACCGATGAGGATCTATCTTTAAATTTTGCTTTTGCTGACAAGTCGGGCGTGCCATATCCTGTTTACACTATAAACCGTCTTCACAATATCGAGGCCACAAATTCTATCTGTGGTCGAACAAACCATATGGGAGAACCGGTCCATGGACGATGGCAGTAATCATTTAATAATTAGACAATTCATATCAAATTGATTTGTTTTTTAATGCACGCGGATCATTGACGAATAGTTTTATTTTCGTTGACTCGCTCCAGTGAAATTTTTATTGACACTTTTACATTTCCTGGCATTACTTTATAAAGCACTCATGAGCACTAGGAGCAAAAAATGTTTTATGCAAGATAAGGTTAGTTGAGGAGCAACTGCCAGTTGAAAACAGCGTTCATCTAATTTAATATAATCATCTACTGCCTCCTGATGATGGCTAGTTCGTTTCCGGGGTATCCCAGCCTAGAAGGGGAAGTGTAGTTTGAGTGCATAGTGCCCGTGTTGTGAGATATGTTCCGTTTTACTAAAATGCGCATGTAAACAAACCCGCTGAAGGCCTGCGGAGATAGTACCCTGATTTTAGAATATCTTCTGACTGCTCAAATTATCGGATTACAAATGGTGGTAGGTGATTTTAGTTATTGCTTGTTGATTATAGGGAAATGGGAGATTGGGGGTTAAATAAGTAGGGAGATAGAAGATTAGAGGTAAAATGAGTAGGGAGATAGGCGATTGCATGGGGGCTAAAAAATGTAGGGAGATGAGAGATTGGCTCTCATGTGTCACCCCCTCATCGGAGAGGCCAATGTCTGCTCCCCCTCCTTCATACATCATCCTAGACTTAGGCAAGCTAATTACCTGAAGCCACCCCTGAACGTTGGCCAAAGGACTACTCCCTCTCACACCAATAGAAGAAGCCACACTACCTATGTAGAAACCACGCATAGGGGTTATCCCCTAGGCCCCGCTGTGGGTCGTTCGACCTGTGCCCGGGTGGGCTAATTCTCGTAAAAAAAAAAAAATACTGATACTTCAGTTTCCCATGCCGTGAGCCGTGAACAACTCACAGGATATACTCAGGTCAAGATTTCTAGAAAAAAGTGAATGGTAATATACCGGTACGTGTTTTTAAGATTTATGGGAAAGAGTAATAAATATTTCCTCAATGAAATTTTAATCGTATGGACATTGTTCATTGGAAAAATAATAAGGGACGATATAACCAGTGGTAAACGTACATTTAAAGTATCAACACCAAAGTTGTTTATGCTATTACAACTGTTGTTATTCTCGGCAGTGTGAATCACTCGGCTTCTCTATTGTACTCCTGGCCGGTTATCACGGTGGCAGGGTACTCGTGCCATCGCCTGTCGGTGTCATCACTGTGAGAGTGCTGTGTTATCGGCGGGTGCCATTGTGAGGGAATATCGTGGCTTAGCTATCATCTGATGACGCCCACTCCTGTATCGGCAGCTGGATAGTGGGTATATAATTTGTAAACATCTTTGTCATTTGAATCATGATCTCAAAGGCCAAATGTAATGTCACCTGACACAAGTTATTATTTTAGCAACGAAATAGAAAAATTGCCCGCGTTTCGTTGTCATGCCGCTATTGTAAGGGAAAACGAGTTTATTTAGAGGTCTTATATACTGTAACGTTCATTTTAAAGTTTTAGCTATTTATCGCACGATGAATGTTCCTCGTCACTGAGTTTGTAAGCATATAAGTAACTGGTTGGTTTAGGCTTAAAGACAGAAATAATGTAAATCACATCAATTTTATCCAAGCAAATAGTATCTTCCTTAATTTTGTTTACAAACTAAGGCTTGGTGTAATTTTACTGTTACACCTGCTTTATTATAAGTGAACCAATTAGGTGCACTTAAACAACTTCACTTACGAGGAACATTCATCGTACACACCTATGAGAATCCAGACAGTGTTTTTGTTTTAAAAGATTAATTGTCAACTCAGTTAAGGATTTTAATTATTATCAGGTCCACTCGTGACAAAAGTATTTCTGTTGTAGCTGCTTGCGTTTAATCTTTGGAACGCAAGATGAAATGTAGAAAAATGTTGGGTATTTTTTTCTTAACAAAGCCATCGAGATTTAGGTTGGTTCTATGGGCCTCTAGATTTAGGTTAGTGTAGTCAATCAAAATATTGTCATGCACTTAAAGATGTGTAGTCTGTATAGTTAAACTTGAAGACTGACATATATACCTGATATGTTACACGTTGGAAACTAAGATTAGATAAGTCACGGCTTTTTTTAGGACTAATCTCATTAAAATAAGAGATAATGTTTATCAGGTACACAGATTCTCGTTAGGACAGTACTAATATGGAGTTCAACTACAAAAGCCCTAATCGGAGAGGTTATTAGGACTTTACAAATAAATGCAGGTGGTTGTCCATACTTACCAGTGGGAAATTGGGTTGTGGGATTTCAACCTAAGATGAAGAGATTTAGAGACCTGTGCTGGCGGATTTTAGTTATTATTTCATGGTGGGATTAGGTGTAGTAGTAAGTTCTCGTGGTATTTCGTGCCATGGGGAATTGTCTGGTGCGATTTAGTGCCGTGGGAAATAGTCTAGTGAGATTTTCTCTGGTGGGATTTTAGCTCAAAATGAACAAAGACTAGCGTGTTACCCGAGTCGTGGGAGGAAATGCAGTCTTTACCATGATGCGTAGGGTCAACCAAGGGCAAGAGGAGGAATGTTGGCTCACAATTTTAAGAAATCATTGGTCTGTGACCCAAGTTGTAAGGCAAAACGTCCAGCTTAGCGTGGTTGAGGGCAACTGGCCAATATTTTATTGCCAGAGATTTAAACCTAATATATGTGGGATATCGAGATTTTGTTTCGCGTTTGTTTAGGTTGGATAGGAGAACATAATAGCCTAGGCTGACATCAGCTTCGGAGTTGACTAGTTTATTTCACCATCTGGTTTTTATTTCGAGTTTAGGGCAAATTAATAGCCTATTATAAATGTCAACTGTATACCTGGCCTTGATTTTGCTCTTGTTGATCTTGTGATAATTACAGAAAAAATGATAGCATTGCAGATGTTCGCGAAATGAATGAAAACGATACTGTAATCATAATGAGAGTTTTGGTGTATTTCTTATGAATTACAACAATAAACTGTAATTGTTGTGTTTGATGTCAAGTGTGGCGTTAACACGTGCATTTATCTTAGTAATGTGTTGCTCATATTGAGTTAGATTTTA